GGGGATTAATTGATCTGTCTTCCAAAACATGTATGTATACATGTAGGGGTGTATTCCTTGCAGCAATAATACCTATTCTTACACTATTCCTTTGTTGTTCCAGGTGATGTGGGCGCTCTGGGCTGGTGGGACTTGTTTATAAATTATGGGTACTTTTTTGTGATGCTCTTAGCCGTCTTACTTCTTATAGTGGATTCGGCTAAAACTGACAAAGTTCAACATCTGTTTTGGCAGTATTGCTGAGTGCTTTGCTTTTCTTGTTTGTACGAAGTGGTCAAATCCAACGATTCATGGAAGCTCTCTCGCACATGGAGCTAGTTCGTCATCTACTACTATCAGATATCTTGACTGGAATAGTGGTTTAGTGGTTTCCTCAGAGGAGGAACCGCAGAATAGAATGTGTGGGCTGCAAGACCTTGGTGGTCACCTAATGAAAGTTCCAATCATATGTTTCCAAGTCCTCCTCTGTATGCGCCTGGAGGTAAGTTACTCTGGTATAATTGTGTCTCAGCTACTTTTTTGAGGATATGCTTGGAATTTGTATCCATTAATTTATTCTTCTGAATTTCAGGGAACACCTGCAAGTGCAAGACACATTTCCCTTCCACTTCTATTCTTACCCATATTCCTATTGCAAGGAGCTGGGGTCTTGTTTGCTACATTAAGATTTGTTGAGAAAATTGTTCTTTTATTGCGAAGTGGAGCTGTTGCAGAACGATATCATGTATTCTCTTCAAGAGTGCGTGACTGCTTTGCGTTTATGCATCACGGTTCCAGGTAAAGTAATGAAGAACCAACAAGATGCAGATAGATAAATCATTACAGGTTTCTTTTCTGTAAAACATGGTGTGCAGAAGGAAGAATCAGAAAATTATGGGATAACAAGAAGACTTAACTGTCACATAGTAGTGATTCTTGATGCTTCAGTTAAGTGGTCCCTAACATGTGTTGGTATTTTCAATAAGCAGGCTACTTGGTTGGTGGTCCATTGATGAATCAAGTCGAGAAGAACAGGCTCGACTATTCCATGATGGATTTCCGGGGTAAGAATGGTTTTCCCTCTTTGTTATTGCTTCTCCTCTGCCTCTGAGTTCTTTGCATTGCATTTCATTTCCGTGGTGAAAGGACGAGTTTGTTTTTTGATAAAGTAATAACTCAATTAGTGTGGCAAAATATATATAT